TTTTTTTTTTTTTGCTATGGAGAAAATAAGTACAAGGAAAAAAAAAGGTGAGGGAGTAGTAGTACTAATACTAAATTAATCCTATGTCTGATACTGAAGGTGTATTGCTTCCATTTTCCACTCATGTCTTCACTGTGTCAGGCATTTCTTTTGTAGTGTTCCATTGTACACCTCGCTAATTGATAGATAATTATAAAGCTACACAAAGTATTAGATAAAAAAAAAATTAGTGAAAACAGTACAAAAAAATATCATATAGGAAAAAATAAAAAATCTATGCATAATTTTGTTGGACAATAGATTTGGGTGAGATTGGTAAGAGTAAATCAATTGTCGTATCATGTACACGAAAAATTATAAACAAATCCACAACACGAAGAAAGCAAATAATGAACAATATTTGATCCTTGATGTTCCAATGATAAGAGAACTTTTCCAAAGAAGAAAAACACAAGCTTCACTCCTCCGGTTGTCAAATTATATAGAGAGAAGTAGAAAAATTTGTGAGGGCAAGATAGTTGGAGAAACAAGAAAATGGAGAGTCCTACATTTAGTGAAATTATGACTTGAGGAGGGAGAGACGGATAGTGGGAGATATTTGGACGTGTATTAAAGCAAAGACCACGAAAAGGCTTGATGTGAATAGTATTAATGAAATGGTATCAATATGTAGAGTAAATTAAGTAAGCTTAATATTAAATCTGAAGGATAAATATGACATAATTGTAGTATTGAAGAGTAAAAGTAGAAAAATAATATTTTTTCATGTATGTTGATATTTTGAAGTAGTATAAATATAGGTATAAATTATTCTATTCGATGTAAGATTTTTCACACATATAATATCCAACATGTTGGGTGGGATAGTAGTGATTGTGGGATAAAGTGGTAGTGGTGGTGGTGGTGGAGAGGCAAAGTGGTTAATTAGTAATGTGGTTGTTACAGTAGAGTGGTGATAAAAATGATGAGCAATAATTGGAGATGCTCGTCGTGAGTTGGTGGTGGTGAAGGTACTTGTCGTAGTAAGGTAGGGGTGGAGGGTGATAATGGTGGTGGTGGTTGTCAGGTGATGGTGGTTATAGCGATGGTGATAATGGTTGGTTGATTGTCGTGGGTGGTAGATGGTGGTATTGTCCATGTGGTGGTAATTGGTGATAGTGAAGGCAATAATGGAGGTGGGTTTGTCATGGCAAAATAGCAGCGGAGGTGACAATAATAATGATTTCAGTGGTAGTGATGGCGTTGAAAATATTTGTTATGATATTTGTTTATCTTTAAATTCTTTTTAATAGTATATCATCAATCATCTATAGAAGGAACAACTATATATGTATACTAGATTACATTATTCGCCAATAATTTCATCTAATTTGCACTCGAAACTCAAGATTTGTAAATTCGGAACAAATTTGGCAAAAATTCACAAATTTTAAAAATTAAATTGACGAATTATATATTTACAATCCACATATAAAAAAAAAAATTTGGGGTCAACTCCACAATTTCAATAATTTTTAAACTAATTAATGAGTTGAACCTTGACCCAAACAATTTTTTTCAATATTCAAAAGTACCTTGCCCACAAGTTGAGACTTAATTAGTAGCCAACAAAGTTTACATATGTGCTACTCATGACACTCTTTCCATAAGGGGTGCAATTTGGGTTGAACAACTCAATTTTAATTCGAGTCTAACTCAAAAAAATTAGGATTTGGAAGGATTTTTAATACTTGAGTTGGGTTTAAGTTAAAAATTTTTAATCCGAATTCAATTTGGGTTGAGCTCGAGTTAAAGCCCCGGGTTCACGAGTTCAACCCAAACCTAATAAATTAAAAAAAAAAAAAAAAATATATATATATATATATATGAAATATATGAATTATGTTTTATGAATTAATAATTATTCCTCCCTCTCTCTGTCTCTCTTATAGTGAACTGGTGGCAATGACTTTTATGTTTTGATTATGATTTTTATGTTAAAAATTTGGTTGAAGTTATTGATTGTTAATTTATGTGAATATTATGTAATATATGTATTAGGTTTAAAACGACAATCCCATTTTGAGTTTTACTCGAATTCAACCCGTAAAATAATTCGAAATCATTAATTTGAATTTAACCTGAACCCACCCAAATTAAACTTGGGCAGTGCTCGGGTTGAATTTCTTAACTCGAGGTAGAGTTAGAGTTAAGATTAGAGTTAAAGTTAAGATTAAAATTAGAGTTAAAGATTATATACATAACATTAAACTAAAATTCACTGTCCAACTCGGACCTGAGTTGCAACCCTAATTCTCATTGAACTAGCGATGTGAGATTCCGTGCTACTTCGGAGCAACCGATGTTTGGGTCAACAATTTGCAATAAAAGTCTATTATCATTTCATTATTCTTTTTACCACTAATAAGTAATTTTATTTCACGTTTTTGACACTTTAATATCCTATTTTTTTGGTGTGTATCACAATAACACATATATAAATTTGACGCATATAGTGATGCCTCCACTTTATATAATCTATTATATGCGTGATTTCGTTTAATCGAAGAAAAAATTTTATTTTTATTCTTTTAACAATGAAATTAATTTTATTTTGTTCCTTAAAATATTATATTTTTTATATTGCCTTTTCAAATAATTAAATTATTTCACACTATTCCAAATACAAACATCCACAATAATTTTGGATAAAAATTATTAACATGATGGGTCAAATTTAAAAAAAATCATATAGTTTGGAGGTAAAATGAAAAAAATTTCTGGAAAAAAAATAATTAATGAGATAATATAAAACAAATTATAATGAAAGGGTCCAGAGTGTAATTTATCCTGAAACAAATGTCTCGTCGCAGACTGCCCACTTGTATCTCCACCACCAGACAAACCAAAGTCACCAAGACCGACTTTTCTTACTCCTCTCTCTGTCAGTGACTGTCACCTCGCCTCCTCTCTCTCTCTCTCTCTCTCTCTCTACATTCACCCAGAAAGAGGAGCGAGAGAACAACCACCACATCCACTACCTTCGATGGCAATCACCTCCTTTGCCCACCTCTCGACCCATCCTCTACTCTTCCCAGTGCACCAGCACCACCACTCTTCTCTTACCACTGTCTCTCTCTTCCCCACTCGTGTCACCACCACCTATCTCTCCACCTCCCCACTCAAACTCAATTCCCATCGAAACCCATATTTCCTCCTCTTAGCCACCGGCAATGGCAGTGATTATGGCACCAGCAGCGGCGGCGGTGGTGGCAGTGACCGAGGTGGTGGTGGAGGTGGAGGTG